TCAACAGAAGATGCAAGCTATGTGTGGGGTTTGTGACTAAGTCGTAGAAAAAACGAATGGGTTCTGCCCTACCGCTCTTATTCTTGATGAAGGATTATACCCCTTCAAGGTTTATCTCGAGGGGACTTCAAAGGGAAATCCAGGTACTTAGGGTCTAGGAGTTACAACTTGACTACTTTTCCTTTGTGTTCATTTTTCTTGTGCATGTAACATTTTATAGACCATTGTAGCTTGAATTCAATGACAATATTTATTAATAAAATATTCTTACCTCAACGAATCGTTAGTTTTTTTTTGTTTTAAACTTTGAGTCCTGTGTTTGGCTTCATTTGATTATTGTTGTGTTGCACCTCTGGTTATTTGTGAGTTGTTACATCATCAAGGTTTGACCATCATCTCTTTAATGTAAAATTTTTTTGTTTTAAGGGAAATATCGGCATTCACTGGTGGGAATTAAGTATGTGCCATGGGAGCTGTGACATGTTGTTTGCTTTAGGTGTGAGAACTCTTATGACTTTCCTTCAGGAGAAAAAGAGGTGCTTCATTGCATTGAAGTGCTTGAAGTGACCTTTGAACTTGTTTGACAATGTTCTTTTATAATTCATAGTTGACCACATTAATAAGTGTTTGTAACCGTGTTTAATTATTGTGTTTGTTCGTTGTGATCAGTGTTTACTAATTCAGCGTATTTTTGTTTGTTGTAGTTAGCATTCATTGAATCAGTGTATATCTTTTTGCTGTAATTAACAATCATAAATCAATGTGTTGTTTTTCCCGAGGCGTGGTTGGGACCCAACAAGGTGTGGTCGCATATTTATGGTGTGCTCCACGTCACAGAGGATCATTCCTCGACCAAGGGTAGGATCCATATCCCTGATCCTGAGGTATGATTCAGATCGAGGTTGACATCTCAGGGCTCCACCGCCTAACACCCTTGGATTGGCTAAATACAAATAGGGGGAAGGGTGTGCCAGCTACATTGAAAATAGTGCTCCTTGGACGTAAATCTTGTCTAAAAAGACTGACTCACACCATCATGCACGAAACACATGATATTCTTTGCGATTGCAACATTTAATAATTTGGATATCAATTATTTAAAATGTGCAATAACTTTACATAGTATCTAAATAATAGTGGCAAATGTAAGGAATTACGTCCTTTTTTCTAGCATATCTTCTTCAATTGGTCAGGGCATTAGTGTAGTCGATCTTATATTCTTCTGTCTAACATGTTGATGGTATGCTTCGGATGCCTCTGAATCTTCGTAGGTGACAGCCACCACCAAACAGTCTCCTTTGTTGAGGATGTAGTTTGAGGATGGTCGCTGAAATTCTAGAGCCATAAAATTATTTTTTCGAATATCCCGTCACAATGCCTTATAACCAACGAGATGACAACGCCCTCGCTCCCCTCTTAATTTGGTGGAGACACTCGCCCCAGTCAATTGAGGTGATATTAATGGTCTATTATGCATGAGTTTGTCCTCTGACAACACCCTCGCTCCTCTCTTAACTTGGTGGAAACACTCGCCTCATTCAGATGAGGTATTATTGGCGGTTTATTGATAAGAGATGCATGAGTTTGTCCTCTAGCATACGGTCGAATTCTACTAGGGCCAAGAGTATGGTTAGACGATTGTGAGGTTCTTTGAGAGGCTCGTCTCCCCAACCCTTGCAGATAGAGTTAAGCTTGCATCCTTCACCTAATAATCTCCTTACAAAACAAAATTTGTGGGCGAGGGATTGAATATATTTTCCGATCAAAAGTGTCTCTGATTAGACTTCACTTTCCCACTACCAGAGTTTGGAGGCTGCTCCTTTGTACGTATTCAGTAAATCTCTATTATCTGCAGGCCCGACCATGGAGATCCAATAATTTTTCCACATCGGACCGAGTGTTGATGCTCAGAGAACGTTGCTTATGCGTTATCTCATATGGACTCTTGCATCAGTGAAAATTGTTGCGAATATCGGGCGGTCTGTAGCTATAGTTTGTTCATCATTCTCATTCTTTGAACGTATTTACGCTCGATCATTTTTATTTCTTGATGCACCACTCAACAACCACGTGGAAGAAGAATTTTATAATGACATCTCCACTAAAAGAAACTACGCTCCGGATCCAAGTGATAGGGAGAAGGTGTAGTAGATTTGGAATGCTCATTACTTCGTATCATAGCGGTGCGTAGCACTATCAACGGTGGTCACTGTTTCAACCGTAGATAACTTCGTGTTGGAATTTCATTTCACTTCGCCAGGATTAGGTATTTTTAGTCTCAATTCGAGCTTCACCGTGATCTATCAGATTTGGCATGAGGCATTCTTCGTTCATCGTTCGAGGATCCCTCGGTTTCTGGAGAAGGTGCTTCGGTAACGGATCTATGTTAACACTAGTTATGACCTCGTAAATTCTTCAAAGTCGCCACGGTAAGTATCAGACTAGTGACGAATAATTGAGATAATAAGAGATCAGAAGTTTGATCATGAATCTTCAGTATGATCTTTAAGGCAATTACCTCAGTTATTTGGTAGTTCTTGCATAAATCTAGATTTAGATCTAGGATCATTCCTTCCTTTACTTCACGGTGTCCTTGCGAGGATGAGAGATTCAGAAACTCAATGAATCATAGATGAAACAAAGATCGGTTGGATTGAACAAAACAAACCTTCACGTTTGATTCTGATCGCTCTTGATTTAGTGATCCTTGAAGGTTTTACTTCTTGACGAATCAAAGAGAGAACATTAAATTGTGAAAAATACGAGAATCATAAGTCATTCCCACAAGCGGCGTCACTATTTCGTTTAGGAACCATAATTAGATGCAGTTGGTGAACTATAGATCCTGAACTTGTGGTGCTAATCTCTGGTATGGCGGCGTAGGGTGGACCTGCAAGGTTAGCACTCCAACGCCCAAGTGAGTTCAAGATTCTAGAAAAGTGTAGTAAAAGTGGGGGTCAGAGAATGTCCATTGCTTTCCATGTGAACTAATTTTATACATTGGTTCAAGTGGAGTGAATTTGAGGTGAATTGTATTTTATCTATTTAGGTCTTTGGATGCCTCAGAATAATCCTAAACGAGGGTTTTCCAAAAGGATGTTAGAGTTCTCACCCCAACTTTCCTAATGACACCATCTACAAAATCAATATGAGCTATCATCCTTTTTAGACACAAGGACAGACACCCATTTACACAAGGAAGAAGAAGGAAAACCCTCAGTTCTAACCTCATAAAAGGAGGAAACAATTTAGTCTCCATATCTAGCTGTAAGAATATCCTTCCAAAGACTCGGATGACCTGTAAGAAGCTTTCCTCTCCACTTTGCTAAAAGTGCAAGGTTTACGAATCAGAGATCCCTCACTCCTATCTCCCTCTGTTCTTATGTTTACAAACATTTTTTCACTTGATCCAACAAAAGTTTGAATCACCTTTCACCTCTCCCCCAAGAAATATTTTTTAAAGCTGGGCAAACTTCTTCAAAACCATTACAGACATCTTTATAAAAGAGAAGAAAGCGATGGGATTAACATTAAGCACATAATTAAGAATAACCATCCTGCCTCCTAAACTGACATATTTGTGCTTCCAAGAATCAACTCTCTTTTCCAACAAATTCACTAAAGGATCCTAAGTAGTTTTAAAGAGATGATTATCCCCCACTATTAAACCAAGGTACTTAAACAAAAGATAATCAATCTTGAAATGAAGGAAATCTCCTGTAGAGAATAGAAAGACAGAGTCCACGTTAACCACTATAAGGCTACTCTTGAAGAAGTTCACTTGAACTCACAAAGCCAATTAAAAACCTCTAAGAATAACTTTAAAACTATAAAAAAAAATCTCTAGAGTATGATCATCCACCAGGAGAGTATCGTCAACATACTAAAGATGAGATACCACCAACCTAGATGAGCTTACCTTGAACCCAAAGTAAAGCCCAATTTCCTCAACATACTAAAGATGAGATACCACTAACCTAGATGAGCTTACCTTGAACCCAAAGTAAAGCCCAATTTCCTCAGCCTTGGAGACTAGACCAATAAGCCCCTCATCAACTAGAAGGAAAAGGAAGGTAACTAGAGGATCTCATTGCTTCGAACTAATTGAGATGTTAATCTCTTGCGTAAGAAATCCATTTACCAGCACCCCAAAATTACCTGCAAAAACATAAACTCTCATCCAAGACTTCCACTTCTCACTAAACCCAACTTTAATAAACATATAATCCAAAAAGATTCGACTAACTAAATCATAAACCTTAAAATCTACCTCAAAAATGAGGCAAGCTCTTTAAATCTCTCGGTCAAGTCAACCACCACATTGACACCCACCACACCATATGAAGTTGCCATCACAAAACTCGTTATCAATTACTTTTATGCTAATAAAGCAAGAGCATACAAATCATTGTCTAGAATAAACAATAACCTCTAAAAAAATCACAATTAGACTCAAACTATAAATCCTAACTTTAAGAATCAATTCTAAGAACAAAATAAATTCAGATTTTAAAAAACCAAACATATACCAAAATCAATTCTATATTTCTTTAATTACTTCTAACTCTCCCAAAAGTAGAACCGAACATACACCCGTACCTAAATCAATTCTATATTTCTCTAGTTACTTTTGACTCTCAAAAATAGAACCATATACACACTCAAACACTTCTATAATTTTTTGTTAAAAATATACTAGATTTTTATTCAAAAAACTATCTTGTATGCACCAACAATAATATTTTACTAAAACAACAATTGAGGACTTCCATATAAATTTGATTCTCATACATTTATTATGCTAATATCATCCAAGCAAGTTTCAGAAGCTACAACAAAACCTTGAAAGTTGAGAAACATGTATGGTATCTACTCTCTTAATTCTTTATTAAATACAGAAAACTATAGCAACATGAAAAGACTATAACTTTTAGTATAAATTAATCTTGAAAGTATATAAAAGAATATATTATATCATCCCAACACATGTTTTGAATGAACTAATTCATTGACATGAAATGCACCCTAGCAAGGGCATATTCCTTTCCTGCAATCCAAACACCAGTTTGAGACCATTGTACATCTTCCCAGTCTATATTTTCTGCTAGAACCTATCATCAGAAGAACAGAATGTCAATAACTGCACAAAAGTAGCTAATATTTGCATTTTGCAATTAATTCAGAAAACTTATGTGTAAGAAAATGGCTGATTCTGCACATGTTGAAGCAAGCCAAACAAGGGTTTTATAATAGGGCCTTGGGAGTTGGGATCAGAAAGACTTGGTGTATGTTCGGTTTCACGTTTGGAGAATTTATAATTGATTCTGGACGTGTAGAATTGGTTTTGACATGTTTGGTTGATCTTGAGTGTAATTGATGATGTTTTCTAGAATTGATTTTATTTGAAACAGATTTGTAGCTTTTGCATCTAAACAGATTTCTACACTGAAATTTTCGGTTAAACTCACTTACGCAAAATTTTATCCAAACATAAAATCACTTTATTTCCAACTCACTTTTAGCTAAAGTCAATTTTATAGAATCAATTCACTCAATCAATTGTCTTCACCGAAGAACCAAACACGTTTAGTAGTAGCAATGTAAGTGTGGCTCAATTGAGATGAAAAATCTGGGGAAAGTATTTACATGCCAGTGGAAAAGAAATGAAAGATTGATTAAAAAATTACCTCCACATATTCAAGAGGCAGGGGGATGCCAACTGTGCGCATCAATCTCTGGGGTAAAATCTTCTTACAACGAGACCAGCGAAATACGTCAACCACGACATTATCAGAATCAGATTTGTTACCATTTGTGGAGTGCAACTGATGATTTGGGGAATTTTTTATATCAGGGTTGTGCAACTGAGTTGCTAGTATGGCTTTGACCATTTTTTCTCCGGCAAAACAGAGTTCATATCTACAAAGAATTATAAGGGAAATCAAACACAGTCTATATCAGTTGACATACATAACACTCATTTTGGTCACGAATCTTGTTGTACATACCTGCGCGAGTGTGTTTCCAGATACAGAACCTCTCCCTTCTTCAAGCGGGCAGATGTATAGAGTGGCTTTTTTAGTCCCTTGTCAGCAACAATGCTGATATTATACTTGATCCTGATGGTTATAATAATTATTAAATACTAAAAACAAGGCACGAAAACAAATCTGTTGCACCCTCTGTCCAAGAGGGAAATAAGAAATTTCCACAAGCTTGGTCTTTGTTTGAGTTCTAAGACAAAACACAATATTACTATATTAGACTCTACTTTGCCAACTACCAGCATACCAGGGCTCATTGCAGAGGTTGTACTGAATTGTGACTTCTCTTATAAATCTTTGCAGCCGCGATGTATTCTGAAGAAGAACGGCGACCATGTTAGATTCTGTTAGTGCTAGGTTTTGGTGAAAAGGGATTATGAAAGACAGTGTTTAGGAGTATTCAAAGTATGTTAGAAGAATTGACTTTGCTTAGATGACAATGTAGATCACTTTTAAACAGTAAATGTGAAGAATTTAACAAGTCCCTCATATGGTAATCAAATAATCAAACACAAACTCTTTCCACCTTAAATTTTACCAAACCCGCCTTTCTCTCCAACCCAACTTTTCTCACTGCTAATGACAGTTTAGGCATCACATACACAGGTTATAAGATGGTGATGTAGAATGCAAAATAATCATTAATTCAATTATGAATGCAAAAAGGTTTGTTTATTATAGATAATGGACAAACCGAAGCTGCAGCCCTGGTAGTAATTGTCCGCTCAACAGCCATTGGTGCAAGGGTGGGATCAATAGTTGCCGTGTGTGTATGGGATGGTTCAAGATCAATAGTTCCGCCTCCTTTCTGAAGACCAAGGAAATAAAAATAGTCAGAGTCACCATCTGTTTAAAAACTAAGGCGCCCATTTACTTCCCATGTTTCCTGTTTTCATTTTCACTTTAACTAATAAACATAAGAGAATAGATAGATCCAGCATTTTTCACACCATTTTCATACGACATGACAGAGAATAAAAAAGTAAAGAACAATACACTTGGAATGGAAAACAGAAAACTAGAGTGCATGACAAGCATTTAAAGTAGAAGAGGTTGTAGCGAAGAGATCACGTGATTTCAGTAGACTAAAGTTCAAAGGATAAGGGATTTTGCAAGGCCTTTATTAATACCTTCACGATACAACATCGCTCAACTCTATAACTACAACCAGGTGCAGCACCCCAAGCTCGGGAACGCAGATTGTTTCTCTGGGTGGAAATATAGCCTGATATAACACAGAATTAACATCTTTAGATTATCCAAATAGAGCTTAAATTGTAAAGCCGGGATCAGTGACTGCAATTGAGGGAAATCAACAGAACAAGCTGATTACTCACAATGAAGAAGAAAAGTATATATATCAACATTGTGCAGAAACAATTAATTAAGTTTCAAGAGGGTGCTTGGTGCAACAGATATCACTTTTTACAATGCAAGTACTTCTATCTTATTTTGATATACGGACTAGTTTATAAGTGTAAGTTCTATCCTATAAAATCCAAACACCAAGTCTGAACCACATTGATAATAATCCAGATATAAATAAGCCTAAGGGACTTTGTTTAAGAGTCTAAAATTATAGAATATAATTAATAAGATAGTTCCTGTTTTTTCTAATTTTCCTCCTCTATTCTGCTGGTGGGAACTCCAGACGAAAAAATTCCACTTTTAATCTTCAAAACTTTAAAATTGAATCAAGTCTTTTTACTCAACAGTTATATATTGACCAATTAATGCTATGAAAATTTAGCATAAAGTTATGCTCAGATATTAACTTTAAGACCACGTAGAGACCATAAGTTTTACTGAAGACATCGGTGCCATGGTTTTATTAGATAATAGCAAAAGAGTGCATTTTTATGATCAACAAGGACATACAGTCTAGCGGAGGTAGCACCCGAATGCATGCGCGCAACTCTTTTATAGCCGAGGGAGGAGGAGAAGGCGTTGGGAAACAGTAACCAGTATGCATGAGAACTGTGCAACAAAATTGCAACATCAGTACTAAATTCAAGTTTTCAACAAGCCAACACTGGTCATTTGCAATCGAAAGCTGGCTGTACACTTTCTGTAATAAAACTTACCAGCAACAAGATCTGAGTCATATGTGTACACATCAGTCCCCCATAGCTGGGCACCTCTGACCTATAAATAGTAATAATCTTAACCGTCAGAAATGGTATAAGATAAAATAAAAAATAAAAAGAAGCTAAGAAATAAATAAAGGACTTTCATTTCATCATCCAATCATTTTGCGAGCAAACAACAAAGTACTTATTCTGGCAAGGTAGGGAAGAGTCAATAAAACTTGTCCATGATAATCATACACAGCATTGTAAAATGGAATATAAGAATCGCATTCATTCAAGGCATGAGATGAAACTAAAGGCAGATCTAGAAAAATGTAGCCGAGGAAAAAGACATGCAAAGTTATTTTATATGAAACATGAGAGCAGAAATGATTTCAAGAACACTATCATAAGCAAGTGAACCAAAATTCTTAAACTTTTCTCAATCAAATAACAAATATAATTGTAACTTAGATGTGTTACATGAGAGGAAATTGACTGTCTATAGGTGGTTATATAGCTAGTCTAATCCTACACCCAAGTTCCTTTAACCTAGACTCGGTCATAACTAATTTTTGGTTAGTTACGCTGACATGGCAACAGTAGGGAGGGGAAGCTACTAGAACTACATACCTCACATAAGATGTTACAAGAATACATCAGATGAAATGAAGAAACAAACCAAAAGAAAGCAAAACAAGAACAAAGGCATCACCAATAACAAGAATCAGTAAAAGCAGTCATAAATGTACCAAGCCCTCAAAAACAAAGGCACTAATCCAAATTAAAAAATAACAAAGTTGATCTCACTTGGTGGTTTGTAGTAATGACATGCTTAGCAGGTATCCGAATTTCAAGAGTGAGGCCATCATTAAGGCTTTCAGCATTTTTTTCAACTTGAGATTGAGATGATTCATATTCCTTCCACAACTTGATCAGTTCTTGCATGCTTTCACCAATGTTATAAATAATATATGGTACTTCTGATTTACCTGAAATACCCCGCCGTCCAACACGAGACATTAAAAGGAAATAGTACAAAGGAAATATTGAGTTATAAACCAATGGGTTAAATAGAGCAGTGTCTGTTGACATCCCAAATTAATTCATGAATGCACAAATCTACATGAAGCCAAATAACTTTGATCCACTGAATATGACAGAATACCTTGAGACCTGCAAGATAAATGAAACAGTAATTACTAAAAGAAAAAGTAAAATAGTGCAAAGGACAATTAATCAAAACACAAAAACGGTAAGATTAAATCAAAGCATCAAAGATGAGGCATCGACTTCTATCAACATGATGCTTCAAGACAGAGTAATGAAGTATAGAGAAATAAAACAATGAATTTGACATAAGAGAAACAACCTATATTAAGTTCTTATCACTTGTCAGTGTGCAACAGTTACCACATTAGATATATAATTTATCTTCAAAGTGCAAAAGTTCTTCAGTATGAAAACAACTATTACATCAACAGCCGTTATTCCAATTTAGCCTATTTGACAGCGAGCTGTAAGTCTGTAACTATATTTTGTTATAATAATTATTATTATTAAAACAAGATATTGAAGAACTTGCAATACAAAAAGCATACACGCTACAGATACCCCAATCTAAACATTTCTCTTTAAGATGTTTACTTACCAACACTGATTTGTGTGCTGAAAACTTCACCTATTGTGAACACTACAAAATTACTTGTTCTTCTTACATACTTTAGGTTAGGAAAATACCGCAGAACAATGGTTAACTAATGTTGTGCTAACCCTAGAAAATACCTTAACTTGAAAAAAGTAGACATTGAATCCTCCAAAATGAAAATTGAGAAACAAAATTGAAAAATGACTGGAAAAATATCAAGTCATTCTAAACTTCTAATAGGACTCTGAAGCTTCATCTTTTATAAGTAAAAATCACATGGAGTGAGTGTAGTAACAGTGTATTTGAAGAAAACAAGATACTGGATAACTAACTTCTCATAAAATAAGTAAACGAAAAAGTAGAGGAAGAAAATACTCTTCATTATCTTGGGCGTGGGGTCCAAAACGAGCCTCTAGATTGGTGACGAGAGGGCTAGCTCTCGATCTTTGTATCCTCTTACGCTGCTGAACATTACAACTATGGTCTTCGCTCCCTTTCTCTCCACTCCCTTCCCCATCGGCAAATTCATTTTGTGATTGCTTGTCAAATTTAAAGCGCTTATCAGGTCGATCTCCTTCTAAATCAGTGTCCCGTTCTTTCCTCCTATCAACATCATGTTTCTTTTGCTCTGGTAATACAGTTGCGTGCTCAGGAATTTTTACTGATCCACCACCAAGTTCCTTTTCATTACATGAAACTCCTTTCTCCATTCCGTTCCATGATTCCCTCTTGATATTTTCTTTTTCCCTCTCTTTTGAATTTTCTTTGTTTTTTGGAGTATCTTTCCTCTCCCATTTTTCTGCGTTTTTATCTTCTTTGGCAGATTCTGTGTTTTCACCATTGATATTGTTAACTTGTGTACTGTTTCTGTGATCACTTCTCTCTTTTTCCATGTTCCCCCAATCTCGATGTCTCGCATCGTTTCTTTTTCTATCTTCAATTTTAAAATCAATTTTGTTTTCCACAACAGCCTCGCGAGCTTCCAAACACTCCCTTTCTTCTGTTGTGGGATTCTCCTTTCCAACTTCTACCGGTGTATTTCCACGTGATGTGTGCCTTGATTCAATCCTATTCTCAGTCCCAATCTGATGATCTGCCTGAGGATCATTTGAAGATAACGGCATCCGATAAACTGAATGAAGAGGAGATCTTCTATCAGCATCACGACCTTCAACACGAAGTATCTTCGCCACCCGAGAATCCTGACCTATTTCATGAGGAACATGTTGGTCCATCGAAACTGGTGAAAGAAACTTTGAAATTACACCTGAATCTTGATGTGGATGGTTTGAAGGTGATTCTTCAAGGGATCTCTTAGGTACATTGCTCATTGTGAAAACTGAAAACCCAACACAGTCATAAACCTCAACTAAATACAACACCCAAAATAATCCGTATTTCCACCGTCTGCTGATTTATAATGGAAGCAAGTAACTGCAAATCAACAATGGAGATTTAGTAAGATCACAGTAATTTCTCAATCCAAAACAATGTTCATATTCACACAAGTCCATTGCATGAGAAACATACCAAAGATAAACAATGATAGAGATCAAGAAAACATCAATCGACAAAGAAACATCCCCAACACAGTCATCATCAAATTAACATCTTACAAAAACAAACAGAAAATTTACCACATTTTCTTTTGCTACTTATCATACACGGAACAAGGTTATAAAAAACCGTCCGTTACTGCGAATACAACCGCGACAGAACAGTATAAGAAGATACCGATACCGTGATTCACTGTTTTCATGATAAAAAAAACTGCAATCAATTCACACTGCGACAACAGCGATTAGTGTCGCAACACCTGTACCAACCGAAATCACGAAAGCCTTTATGCGACCGCAACTGTTATTTCAAACCTTGCACGGAACTTAGATTAAGTTTAGTAATAACTTCATCAACAAAAAACCTATCTAGCCACCTATGTAGCATCGACTCAGAGAGGCTACATTCGTGCTTCCACGATCGTATCAGTGTCGTGTTCATGTTCAATGCCTATGCTTCATAGCTAGCAACACACATATCATCAAATTCAACCAATTAAAATTTCTCCCTAATGAAAACCAAATCAAATCCAATTTAACATAATCATAGTTCAGATGAGCACATTAAACAAACAACTACAGTGCTGAACACACAAAAAGCCTCACAAAAACATAATCTGTAACCATAAATTTCGAAATCATACCAACAAACTCAGAGTCTCTGAAATGCAGATTAACAGAATAATAGTTTACAATAAGAGTGCAAGAGGCAAAATGCAAATGCAAAACGACATGCATTGAAAAAATTGCTGCAATGAAAGAGTAAAAAAATGGAATATGAAAACCTAGAAATTATGCAGAGAGTGAAGAAGGAAGAAGAAACCTTGAATATCGGCGAGTCTTGTGCGTTCTGTGCTTTGGGATTGAAGGTTTGCGTTGTGTGATAATTGCTTTGTATCTCCCAAATTTTAAATTTTAGGAGTTAATTTTTCGCATAAAAACTTAGTTATACATTTTAACCGTAAAAATATATATATAATAATAAATAACAAAGAAAGAGTTATTGTATACATTAGGTTTTAATTATTTAATTAAAGTTCAGCACCTCTTGAATTCAATTGGATAGGTACTAATCGTTTAATCATATAATCCTTTACTTAAATAATATAATGTAATCGATAATCTATAATGCAAAATATATATTTGATGTAGGCTCAGACACATTATGTCATTAGGGGCATCTGTCTCCACAAAATTAAATAGTTTAATATAAATTTTATAATAATTTTTATTTTTTTATACAAAAATTATATGTTATTACCACTAAAAAGTATTAATTCTTTTATTAGCAAAAATCGTAAATTGCAATAATGTTGTGAGATATAAATTTTAGAATTATTATTGAATTATTTATGAAAAAAGAATAATTATTTAGACATAAATAGATAAAAATATTTTGCAAAATAAAAAAGTAACTAAATTTCAAATTATAAAAACACTTATAAATTAATCATAATTTTAAAGTTTTATGTATTTTATACTAATATAATTTTATAATCTCTAAATTTTTTATTAGTAGTAATATCATCATCTTACCCCCACAATTTAGAATTTTTAAATCCATCCTTAGATGTAGTCTTTTTTTTTCATCCAAATATACTATTTTTAATTTTTATTTTTAATTTTAACTTTTTTTTTACAACAGTAGCAGTTATATACGGTTTATGAATAATTTAAAATAAAATTAAAGTTAAATAAAAATATAATTCGATTAATGTTTTATGCGCGTCAATATTAGAGAAAACGGATAATTTATGTCTGGAGGTCAGTATATATAAAGCTAAAATTTAGTTTTGGTGTAGTTTATTTTTATTCCAATTATACTCTTTTTAATTTTTATTTTAAATCACAATTTTCTTTTATTAATTGTTATATGTTGGTTTGCACACTTTTTTCATTCAATTTTTTATTTTAAAAATAATTTAAACTAAAACAAAAAATATCGTTTATATTGTTGGTCCCTTTTTAATTGTTATTTAATCATATATGTTTTTTATCCTTATAAATTATCAAATTTTATTTTTGGTCCCTATAAAAAAAATAGCGTATTTTGGTTCCTACAAAATAATTATGTACGTAGTTTTAGTTCCTGCTATTAAACTAATATGTATTTTTGAATTATTATTTTGCAAACATGTTTAGAATGTTATAAAAAGTTTCTCGAAAAAAAAAAAAGAATTCAAAATTTGATTTATAAGTCGAGATTTTCATTACTTTTATCATTATCTTTCGAAATTTAAAAAATTCATATTTAATTCTTCTCATTTTAAAAAATTATATAATTTGGTAAAGAAACAATTTATAATAATCTGAACACTTATGAAAAAAAATATTCAAAAATTTAAAAGTTTAGTGGTAATTAAATAGTTTTCAAAATTTTAGAAAATAGCAAGGATTAAAATTGTATGCATAAAATTTTTGTAGGGACAAAAAATAAAATGTGAGATATTTATAGGAATCAAAAACATATTTAACCCATATATATATATATATATATATATATATATATATATATATATATATATATATATATATATATATATATATATATATATATATATATATATATATATATATATATATATATATATATATATATATATATATATATATATATATATATATATATATATATATATATATATATATATATATATATATATATATATATATATATATATATATATATATATATATATATATATATATATATATATATATATATATATATATATATATATATATATATATATATATATATATATATATATAAAGGCAAAACATATTGATCTAACCTGATCAGAGAGAATCAATGGCATGTCACGCGTCGTTAGATTGTTGTTTTCACCAGAGTTGTGGAGAGAAAGGGGGTGTACCTGCAAGGCACTCTGATGCTTAAGTGAGTAAAAGATCAGAGAGAAAGCAAGCATGGAGGTTAGGTGTGGAGAAGAAGTTACCTGACCCTCTAGTGAAAAAGGATATTTATAGTGTGCCCCCAGCGCAGGGCCAACGGTTACATTGTATTGGGCCAGACTGTCAGGCCCAACCCAAGTAACTGCCAGGGCTTACGTGGCGTAGTGAAGACCAGCACGTGGTCTTCGCCCTATATCAACTGCCCCGTGATCTTCGGAAGGTGGCTTGACTGACTCTTCCGGAGGTGGGTAGTTGCCTGATGACGTGTCCTTGCATGGGGGACACGTGGAGAACATTGGAGAAGTGTGTGAGCTTCCCCGTCAGGAAGGTCTTCTGCTCGACGCATGTGTCTAGTTGAGGCATGTGTTCTAACGGAGGAGGATTGGGTCTTGTTGGGCCACATCATCATAGCATTGGGTTAGGTCTGCCCGACTGAGGGGCAGGTCTCGTCCTAGTCCAGAACAGGAGCCCCCAAGTCGTTGCTCCGAGGTGGAGGAGTGACGACTTAAGGATAAGCCAAGGTTGAGGACAAATTGGAAAGGTGGTATTATGCCCGGAAGATGGGGTCGATAGTCGCGCTCGTTGGAACATCATGTCGGGGAGGTGAAAGGTGATTGGGCGCATTGGCTTTCTGAGCTCAAGGGAAAGCGAATGGGACACGGTCTGTCACAGTTGCCATGTGTCAGACACGCATTGCCCTTCCTAGGGCGACTAGTTGTAGGGGTGTTTGAGTGCCTAGGGGCGCTTTGAGTTCCGTGCTAGGCATATAAATAGGCTGAGGCCTGCACCTTTGTCACTTTTTGCTCCTAACTCTAACGATTGAAATTATTTCTTGCTCCCCCACTGTTTACATCGTTGTGCAATCATCGTTGTCGCGTCGTCTACCACAAAGTTCGTCGCGTCTCTACCCAAACTACCGCACCAAGTAAGTTCGTTCGTCCTTTTCCTTCTGTTTCTTTATTTTCCGGCAACTCCTACGTTGGACACGATGAGTGTCCCGAGGAGGTTGCGGGTTTTCCGGCGACTACGGTGAGATTCCCTTAGCCAAGGGTGAGCCTAGGATGATGCTCCCGGGGACACATAGTAGTTCTAGATGGACTCCCCAGAGACAGATGATAGGGTTGGATGAGTGTCCCGGGGACATATGATAGGTCTAGATGAATGCCATGTGGACATATGATAGGTTTAGATGAATGCTCCAGGGACATATGATAGTAAATAACGCGGGGGAATAGATGTCGAGGTTGGAGGAGCCTAGGTCGTAGATGTCGTCCCCTTCACCCTTTCACTTGAGTTGTGGTGGAAGGGTGAATTTGATCTTGAAACGTCGAATTCACCATTTCCCTCTGATTTTCAGGTGAATATGGTTGCGTGGATACCTGGAGTCATAGAAGTCGACCAGGAGAAGGAGTCTCCGACGGCCCCGCCTATCGAAGGACAGAGTCGGACAATCGAAGACTGGGCTGGGGAAGATCCCTTAAGTACGGCTTCCCGTTTTGTCGAGGATGACTCTAACGTGTTTTCCTCGATCGAGGATCGTCATAAGGGTTCCTCTATGAATTGGCAAGTGTATAAGTTGCGGGCCCATTGTCGGATATGTTTGAGCTATGGAAAGATGTGGTTTCCTATGTATGAGTTTTGTTTTCATGAGGCGGGACTTCGTCTGCCCTTCTCAGATTTTCAAATGGGGGTTTTTGACTGGTTGAGGCTATCTCCTTCGCAGTTGCATCCCAATGTGATTACCTTTTTCCGGGCATACGAGCCGT